CACTCGCCCCGAGCCGGCGAGGCCCGGGCACGGCCGCGGGGGCGAGCCCCTGGCGACCAGAGCTTCAGGGAGAGCGCGGTTTCTTCCCGCTCCGCGGACCAAGCGGCTGCTTTTGCTCCGGTTTCGGTGAGGAAACCGCTTAAAATTGTGTAAAGGAGGCCCCGGCCGCGTTCTCCTTGAGGAGCTGTAAGGAATGCCTGTCAGAAAGCGAGAGCTTGCTGCGGATATGAAGCAGCGTTGTCTGTTAGCATTGTTGCTTTTTTCCCGGCACCCACGGAGGGTTGTGTAACCTAATAAATTGCAGATGAGAAGCCAAGTGGGATGACTGCATTTGTTTTATGATGTATGACTGATGATTGGCATGCCCTGTCAGATCGCTGAAGTATAGCAGCGTTGGGAAACATCCCTCACCTGATGCCTCACTGTTTCTGCTACGCCAAGTTCTCCATGTCTCGTCTCAGTTGTGTACAGGTTGTTTAATCCCAGGAATCTGAATTTGGGCAGATGCCTGCCTAAAATCAACAGCAAACTCTTCTTTCTGCTTTCCCCACTCTCTGGTCTCAACAGAGGTTACTGGGAGGAAAAATTGGATTGCAAAGGTTGTTTTGGTTTTGATTTAAAGATGATTAAAATATGGTTGTGTTTGTCTTTAGAATTGTGTGTAGAGGGGTAAGCTGTCTGGATTTAACTTCTCTTTTCTGGCTGTGAGTAGGAGTTGCCAGCAGATAAAGTTTTTGTTTAGAAAAACAGGTATTTGGTCCCAATGGAAGGTGAGTATTTGTGATGCCACAAACAGAAAGCATCTGTTAGCCAGGATATTTTGATGATCAGATGTTGAAACTGAATGTCAATGACTGTGACTTCATGGCAAAAACAAGGGTGGAAGGAAGGTAATATTTATGTTTTTAGGAGGTAATGGAAGCTTCTGGTCTTTTCCTTCCCCAGGTGCCTGCAGGGAGCCTGCAGCTCACTCTCTACCAGTATAAAACGTGTCCTTTCTGCAGCAAAGTCCGAGCTTTTCTTGATTACCATGGACTGCCCTATGAAATTGTGGAAGTGAACCCGATAATGAGGAAAGAGATCAAATTCTCTTCCTACAGGAAGGTGCCTATCCTGCTAGCCAATGCTGGAAGCCCTCTGGTAAGTCTTTACTGCATTGATTCATTTCCCCATAAGCAGTGGTTTGGAGGCTTGTCTCTGTCATGTCTCTGTGGTTTATCACATGCAGTGTAATCTTTAAATCACCTTTTATTCTCTCAGAAGCCTAAAGTTTATTTCGTGCTTCATGGTCTCCTATGCCTTGGCCTTATTAGATTTTTTTGTTGGCCTTTCTTACAAGGCATATTGTTTGTGTAGTGACTCTAATCCACTGATTATCCAGCTTCTGTCAGCCCTTATGCAGGACATACCATCTGTGCCAGCAGTCACAGGAACCGCTTTTATCTTGTGGAAAAAGAATGAGATCTCAAAAATACTGAAGATTCAACTTGGCTTTTTTTTTTAAAGTTAGTGTTGCTTTCCTCCTTCACCACCAAGTGCCTAAATCCAAACCCCACTACTTTACACCATGTGTACCTGGCCCTCGGGTCCTCTGTTGTCAGAATTAAAGACAAATTTGAAGTGATACTCTGAAACAATCACAGAAGAGATCTGCATGTAGGGCTATCTTTAGATGTGCAGGGACTCCTGGGGAAATGCATGGGAGGAAAAGGGACTGCAGTACTAACTTGGAGCCTCAGCATGCAGGGGAAAAGGTTATGAAGAATTTCCTTTTCCATTTCACCAACTTCTTCTGAAAGTTTGTTTTAATGCTGTTTTTCAGCAATTGAATGACTCTTCGGTGATCATCAGTGCAATAAAGACCTATCTCATTTCCAAGTAAGAAAACAGGATGATGGGAGGAGAGTTGAATGTGGATGACCCTAGCAAACTAGAGTTTTAGAAGGCTCTTTCAGAGTCAGTCATAAGTATCTTGCTGACCTTGGTCTCTGAAGCTCTGGGTGTTTGGCCCAGCTGACCCGAGCCTGGCTGTGACAATGTGGATGGTACCTGTGTATGTTGTGATTGTGTGTGCAGTGAAGCAAAGCTTTTACCTTTCAGAACTACTCTTTTTCACCTGTGAGATTCTCTTTGCACAAAACCTACTTAAACATGGGCTAGTGTTAGTCCTGGAACTCAGCTTACAATTAGCCAGTTATAGCATCTAGAATGAAATGAAATTGCTGTGCCTGTGGCCTGTCCTTTAGGTCTGTGCTACAAAGTGCTTGAGCATGGTAGGCAGTTTTATGCCTGCAAAAATTTCTGTTCTGACACAGAGGAAGGTATGTACGCTAATAATAGTTATTTGCAAGTAGCTGTGCCAGTCTCTTTTTAAAATTTATTTCAAATAGAATTTGGAACCTTGTGCACTTATTTTTAGAATAGTACATTTTAAAGTGTTTATCTTTCAATCTGTCCTTTGCTCTTGCTCATTTTTTCTAGCAGCCAGATCAGGTGCTAACTGTGTTTTGGTCCACAGGAGGAATAGTTTAGAAGAGATTGTGTCCTTTTATCCTCCTATGAAAACTGTGACTGAGCAAGGCAAGGAGGTATTTGAGTATGGGAATAAATACTGGCTCATGCTGGATGAGAAGGAGACAAAACGAGTCTATCCTGTCAAAGAAGTGAGAGTGTAAGTGCTCTTAAGTTTCTGGGTTTTCCAGGCGGGATCACAGCCTCTTCCAGATGCACTCAGGGATGGTTTAGATATAAAATCTGGCTGGTGCTGACAAATCCTGTCGAACTCCCCTTAATGTTTAAAACCTCAATAGTTAGCGTGTTTTTGCTGTGTTTCTTACATAATTTGAAACAATGCTGTTAGACGGCCTAGTTAACACCGTCAAGGTCATGGCCAGCCTTCAGTTGCCTCCAGTTTCCTTCTTGGCCTTGCCTTTATCTCACAGGGGAGTGCTATGGAGTGCTAGTTTCCCTTTCTGCTTTAGCTCTCATATTGGGAGGAGAAGCTAGTGCTCTTAGTCTTAATTTTAGTTTGAGATCAGAGGAGCCTTGCCAAAGATAATGATCCTGAGTGCATTTCCGAGAGGTCACCAGAGCACAAGGCTGGGCAGGAGTTTTTAACACATTTGTCCTTGGCAGAACCTCTGGCTAATGCCAATGTGATTCTGCCTGCCTCCTGTAGCCCTGCAATCTGTACCTCATTCACTGAAAAGTTTCTTTCCTTTGAATGCTTGCAGGGAAGAAATGAAGTGGAGAAAATGGGCAGATGATTGGCTTGTTCACCTCATCTCCCCCAATGTTTACCGTACCCCCAGAGAAGCCTTGGCATCTTTTGACTACATTGTCCGTGAGGGGAAGTTTGGCACCGTGGAAGGTTTCTTTGCCAAGTACATGGGGGCTGTTGCCATGTTCTTCATTAGCAAGAGGCTGAAGAAAAGGTTGGTACCACTGAGCACCAAGTACACAAGAGGAAAAGCTCCTTAACCTCCTTAGCTGTGAACCCCAGGTGTCAAAGGGCAGAACTTCAGTGTTTTAAACCAAACCATTTAATCCAATGTGAGTAACAGCTGTACTACTTTAGCTGCAGGTACTGAACCCCTCTACTCATCTACTATTTAATCAGTACTGCCCCCTTCACTCTCAAATACCTTCCTAATTCCCAGGCAAAGACCAGCCCAAAAGATTAGAGATGATAAAAGGTTAAAGAAAGAAACAAGCTAGTGTCTTCAGACTAGTTCTTCTCTTTATCCAGACATCACCTTCGAGATAATGTCCGAGAAGACTTGTATGAAGCAGTTAATGAGTGGGTAAAAGCTGTTGGCAAACATCGACTGTTCATGGGTGGAAACCAGCCGAATCTTGCTGACTTGGTAAAGTGTTAATTCCTGCATTCATTGTTAGGTGTACTACAAATTATCCAGTTGCTCATCTGTGTGAAATAGTTAATACCAGTGTAGACATAGCAGGTGAGTTACACGAGATACATTGTCACTGTCCTTTGTGCAATAATACAATTCCCACATGAAGGGGACTTAGAAATATTTGTGTTACATAGGACAGTATTTGTTGTTTTCCTCCAGAGAAATGTTTCCCAAGATGGAACCTGCAGTTCCCATCTGCAGGTGGATGTTACTGATCATGTGGAGGTGTGATAAAAGCAGGTTACAAGGCAGGACACTGCTCTGGCTTGTGAATGCTGGTGAATCAGGGCTCACACCTGCAGAGGTTTTATTGCATTCAGTGCTGCTGGGGTTTCCTTTGCAGGCAGCAGTGCAGAGTGGAGCGGGTTTCATCCCCTGCATCAGCAGTTCTTCTTGGAATGCAAGTGAAGCGTTTCACAGCCAGGGCTTGATACAGATATGGGATTAATTTTTGCCTCATAACTGCATGTAGATCTTGATGTTTTCTTACTGTTTCCTCATGGAAAAACATGCATATTCTCAACTACCTTTCCGCCATTCAGTCTTTCTCGCTAATCAGAAGGGTGGAGTGGATGGCAGGATGGGGAAGGAGCCTTACCGGCTAGGCTATTGAGACACTTGTTGGTACCCTAAGCCATTTGCTACCGCTGGCTCTTTCACTGTTATTCTAATCTTTATCCTCTGGCACAGGCAGTGTACGGGGTCCTCCGAGTCATGGAAGGGCTGGAAGCCTTTGACGACATGATGGTTCACACTAAGATTCAGCCTTGGTACCAGCGTATGGAAGAAGTCATTCAAAAAGCTGAAGCTGCAGTCTGATGCCAGCTGCAGCTGCCTTCCTGAAGTACTTGCATGGTAAAAAAAAAACAACAACAAACTTCAGAAGGAATGGCATTTATTTTTTAAAAGTTGAATGGACTGGTCACACCTAACGGACTGACGTGCAGGCACAGAGACTGTCCCATTTAGAATATTGAGTGTCAGTGAGCAGAAGGGATCCAGCTGGGTGCATGTTTGAACATGATACTTAGAAGGACGGGGACAGGTAAAAGGAAGGGATCTTGGACGCTACTGGAAAGGAGAAGCTCTGAACTGAAGAATGCAGCAAATGGGCTTCTTTTAGGCAAGAGTCATTCTCAGAGCAGGTTACTGTAAAAGCAAGCCATTCCTGGCTAGTAAGTGTTACAGCCATATTGGATATGGTAGGTCTGAGCAACTTTTGCTTCAGGCTGTCTTCCGCTACTCATCCATGTCATCTGAAGTGTTTTCCTGACTGAGACACTGGATACTAGTTTTTAAGTGACAATTTTTCCAGCAATAGAATCCTGTAAGCCCAGTGCTGAGGGAACTGGAGGAATCCACGGTACTGGGAAAGGCTTCCTTATGACAGAAATGACGCTGCACTTGGCAGATTGTATGCTTTTACTCTTCCATGTAAACGGTTCTTTCAGTACTTGGTTCTGTACGGTCTGCAAGGATAAAGGCTTGCTTCTTTCTGTGCCCTTTGTGAGATCTGTGAGTTCTTACCTTACCTGTTGCGCCCAGAAGGCACGCCCTGCACAGAAATTGCTAATGCAGAGCAGTTATTTGAAAGATTTATCTTGCATGAAATCTCTCTGGAATACCCCGAAAATCAGTTTGTTCTTGTCTTCGAAAGAAGGTTTAAGAGCAATCTGCATGCCCGGGGGATCTCTAGATGTTTCTGGCATGCAAGAGTAACAAAGGATTTGCTGTTGTAGCAATCGGATTAGGAGCCGTCGCTGCAGGTAACGTTGTGCAATACCAAGTCTACTGGGCTGTACTGGGTAGAAATACCCCCTGTTCGTCGTAGAGAGAGACGATGCAGGTTTGAATGGGACTGGTCCTCTGTGCAGCCCAAGGCTTAAATTTCCTTAATTGTCAACTTGAAACAAGTGCTGTTTCCCCAGAAGAAAGGGCAGTTTCGGGGAAGCTGGTTTGTTGAGATGTTACGGGTGCAGCTGAAGCCGGGCTGTAATGACAGCTGCTTGTGCAGTGTGGGTTCTGTTGGGGGGAGGTGGGGGAACACCTGCATTGGGTATAACAGCAAGGGTTGGGATAGAGGGGTTGGTTTTTCCCAAATGTGAGACTGGTAACAAATTCAGTTGTGATTTGGCATAGAGGGGAGAAGGAAAATCTTACAGGAAGAACAGCTGGCTTGTTGGTCTGTGACTTGCTGTGTTTGTTAAAGCTCTTCTGTACTAAAACTTGCGTTCTGTGCTATCAAAAGAACAAAGTTCCAGCAGGTAATGTTGCTTTTAAAAGAATATACTGAAGATACAGAGCCGGGAGCTTGAAGAAACCCTTTATGTTCACTTCAACTACCCATCCGTGTAAAGCCTAGAGGGAGGAAAAGCGTTTCACGTGGAACGAGGAGCTGAGGCGCCACCGGCCCGGGCCGGGCCGGCTCCTCGCCCGGGTG